CGATATGAAAGCTCCTGGATTAAAGCGATGTATTTCGCCTAAAGTTAGTTCCAACAGGGTAATCTCTTTCGAACCTCCTCGTTATTTTTCGTGCGTGAGTATTTTCGTTGGATTTATCATGTTATTGAGTCGAGTTTGGCTGCTTTCGAATTATTTTCGGATCATATCATGCGTGTGATGTTAATTGTGGTAATAGTTCGTAGATTATTCGGGGACGATCGGAACTCTCATTTACTTTATAAGTCGAATCTTGTTGCAGCTGTGATGGATTCGTGTGATTTCGGTGTCTTGTTTTTTTCGTTTTGAGTCGTCGTCCTGTTGATTGGATCGTTCGTATCCCGGTCGTTTGTTTGGTATTATTTTGTCGTTTTGTTATTAAACCTTTTAAACTCGGTTTCAAATATATTTTCAAACTCCGAACGTTCTATATTTTGGTCTCGGTTGCCGTTGGTAACAGCATTGTCGAGTTTGGGTTTAATCTGCTGCTATTTAACAAATTCTGTAAAATTTCCAGAGCTCTGTTTCTCAGATTTCAGTCGCAGTTCCTTTTTAAAATTCATGTAAATCACTTTGCAAATTAACAATCAAGTAGTGCCTGTAGTCTAGTGGTGTGACGTGCGCCTGGGTTGTGAGAGGTGGCGGGTTCGATCCTTACTGCCCGCATTACATTGTTATATATATATATATTTATTTTTTTACCTTGTCAATGGCAGCAGCGCGGGCTGTGAACCCCGCATGCGGCCCGCGATCAGCCCGAAGCCATCTCAGCCTGTCAGCCCGCTTGAGTGCCCAATAGCCCGAGCCCCAGCCCTCTAGCAGCCCAATTTTTTGATTTTATTTATTATTCAGCGGCCCAGTTTGTGAGCAAGGCCCAAATGCTTGGCAACTTTGACTAGTGTTTGGGCAGGCGGCCCAATTCGCATTTTTAAGCCAATTTTTGTGTTCCGGAGCCCCTATTTCGTACCGATTTCAATTTTAAAAATTATTTTCAAATAATAAAATTTTGGAAAAATTATTTTAAGTCTCCAAACTTCAATTTTGTTCTCCGAGTCCTAATTTACAAAAAAATGGGAGAATTCCAAGTCCACGAAAATTCCGATTAAAACCTTAAAGTCTTAATTTTTATTAAGCATGGGTCTTATGTTAAATTCGAGTAGTGAG